CAGTGGCACAGCTACGATAAAAGGCCTGCAGACGGGGGTCTGCCTTGAGCAGGCGATGGAGGTGACATATCTCAGGTCTCCGTAACCAATCTGTGTAGGTGGGGTTGCGAAGCACGCGTCGAGCCAGCCAGAGGACGGCAGCCGCTTTTCTGGATTCTCGGTAGAGGCTGATGCTGTGACTGTGCATTCCAGCCTCCAGGAGGAACCGTGACATGAACTGTATCATGCTGTTGTGTGCGTCCAGCACCTGTGCGCACAAAGGGTTAAAGTGAGGAATATCTGGGGTTGGAAAGGAAAAACATAGTGGACATCGGCATAAGAGGGAAGTCAAGTCAGGCAGAGAGTATTGCCGGCAAAGACAAGGGAGGCTGGAATGGCCATTTCTGGTTCATTAGCCATCATCAGCCAGTCATACCCAGCTCCACCCGAGGCTCGAACCCGCGACCTCTTGATCAAAAGTCTAACGCTCTGATCCTTACTTGGATTATCACCCGCTGTTTGGCTGTTGGTGGGGATCAAGAATGAGCCCCAAGGCAGAGTGGGACGAGTGAGTTCCGTTAGCAATCGGTGAACGTTAATCGACGGAGTCAAGTCACTCAGCGACAGAATTTTTGCACGCAATGAAAGCAATGGGTAGTACTAGACCGAGGAGACAATGTTACTATTTTGTCTAGCTACTACCTACCCGGTGAGTTTATGGGATGAGGGAGAGTGGAACGGCCTTCAGTGAAGGTTGGCTGAGAATTAAGTTGGTTCTTGGATCTGACGAATAAACGGTCGCAGAACAGAAGCGATTGTGCCACCAGGAGGTGAAGCATTGGATCGTCGGTTGCCCCTAATCAGATACTACAAATCTGTCTTGCAGTTAGGTTCTTGAGCCGAAGCGCTAGAGATGATAACGTCAAACAAACCGATTGGCCGTTGCGCACTAGCCTGTACTGCAAATTTTGAGGAAACCCCATAGCAAAGCGCTCAACCCAATTTCGAGGCCAGCTATCTCAGACACGCTTTGCTAGCGTTCATTGTTGTTGGTGGTGGTGGTGGTAGTAGTAGTAGTAGTAGTAGCAGCAGCAGCAGTAGCAGTAGCAACAGCAGCAGCAGCAATTGGGGCACCGAAAGTCGACGCGCGCTGAAAAGGGAAATTACCGTCGAAGTCGGGTCTGTATGACGTAGATATGGTGACAGCTAAACGGCGGATAAAAAGGCAGGAGTAACTGTCTTAGTCTACCTGCTAGTACACATGATAAGCCATTGTACTGGTGCTATGTAACATAAATCGCCAGTGTTACAATGACGTGGATCGAGATCCAAAAGAATCAGTTATGTCAACACCTACCCGGGCATACCGCCGTAGAAAGACGTAGGGGTTCGGCCGATGGACGTTGAAATCAATGGACACTAGGAGACGCTGCTCCGCCTCGATAAATTCTTCCTTGGTGTAGGCGTTGTCAGTTATGTAGAGGAAATCATTCATTTTAGGCATTTGTCGTTCTTCGTGCTTGCAGGCCACCATGATAGCCGCACAGGCCATCAGCTGGATTTCTCGTCTACGATGAAAGCAATTTGGAGGGAAAGGATGATACAGTTTGGTAACTGATGGAGTCTGGTCTTGCCCACAACTGCTCTATATAGAGTATATGTGCTGCCTCGTGAAATGTCAAACGAAAACCTGAAACGTAGCTGCAATTCAACTAAATACCGTGTAGCATACAAGATAGCTCAGTTACGAGATTATGACGGCCTCTGAACAGGCTGTTTTGCAACCGCCTGCCAAAACAGTATGCTCTAATTTGCGAAAGTGAGACTTGCGGGATAGGAATTAGAAGCGATAATGCTCACCGGAACGGATGGTGCGAAGGCTGAAAACCCGTTTCGGTGAGCATTATCCTGTTCTTAGGTATTCTCTAAAAAAATAACTACTCAAGCAATACGAAGCGAACCGAAATCCGACCCTCGGCCTCCTCGTGATGGTTCGCGGGCAACGTGGGTATTCTCACAGCTAACAGAGGGTAATGGCAGGTACCACCGGGGACGTCATCTGTAACAAAATCCCAAGAAACTTCATGGACAATACGAATATTATGGCGTCCCCGGGAAGTGACGCGCTCCGTGGTCGTCGGGTGTCCGGAGTGCCAAATATGCAAGCCAGTACTAGAGTACAACTTAATGCTACGGCATCCCCGGGAAGCGACGCACTCCGTGGTCGTCTGGTGCCCGGAATGTCAAATATGCGAGCCAGTAACCTACAGCGCTTATAGTGTGAGATTTATCTTATGGAACGTATGTACAAATATTATTTCTTGTATTCCTTTGGCAGCAAATTGCGTCTTCTTTAGATTGCATACTTCAATAATATATTCCGGTTTTCATTTTTTCCTCAATTCCCAAGTAATTTCGAAACTGACCTGTCGTTAGACTCGTTTCCAGAATACATGCTTCATGCATTTTGTTTCCAGAAGATCACCGCTATTGCGAAAAAGTTTCATAAAATTTGGCAATGGACGTGGGCCATGGTTTATACTTTATAAGTAGCATTGATAAATAGATAGATGTGAACGGACATTTAACGGTCTCACAACGTTCCTAAGCCAAAAGATATGCTTTTTATAGTATAAATTCGAAGAAGACGTCATTTGCTAAGAAATGAGCACGAGAAGACATAATTTTATGCACGTCTTCTATAAAATATACTTTAATTTATCGGGGTATCGAAAATCACTGGCAAAATGCATATTAGGTAAGTAGTCACTTTTGCCATGCACTTTATGCAGACGACTGGAATGAAGGTTATTTGGAGGTCAACGTCTTGGCGTGACTGAAGTATCCCCTGATTATGCTGCAGGATACTTAATAGTACAACTCTGATTATATAATCTTTTCGATACGAAAACACATTTCGGCATTTCAGTTAACATTTTATGAGATAACACACCAAGCGCGATCAGTTTTAGCATACTCCCAGCACAGATATCGAGTTAACATAGAGTCGGGCCGGTCAGGAGACTACAGCGAACTAAATTGAGTTCGGCAGACCTGAAAATAGGGTTTTGTGAAGAGGATTAGAGTTAGCGAATTCGCGATCAAGTGAACTGACTGTTGAACTTTTGCGGGTGATTCAATGCCCTGTAGTTTTTTTTGTTTTTTTCTGCGTGGATCACGAATATTTGCTAATGACTGAGAGCACTTTCCCCCACTGATTTAGCAATTATTGAGGCCTGCTTCTCATTAAAAAAAATTAAGAAAACCGTGTGATTCTGTTTATGAGGACAGTGTCAATGGCAGCAGGGATCTTTGGTGCCAGGAGATTGGGCTTCCATTGGTAGACTGTACAATTCTATATTCGGTTTCTGCTGGTTTTGTTAACTCAGCTTTTGTGGCGGATTATCGGATCCGTCGAGTCCGCGTGGGCGTTCTCAGGGATCTTAGATCAATTCACCGAAAGCGGCTGCGGGAAATAAGCAAGCAGCCACGGGATATGGGCGTTTCATGTGCCTCATCGTCGCACGGAGATGCTTTGCACAGAAGTGTACTTAAAAGTTTGAATATCCATGCATTCCTGGTAGCGCAGACTGTTAAGGAGAGAGGGGTTCGGAAGGTCACTCCCAGATAGCAGTAGCTAACTGTTGCCACTAGATCCGACATGATGTTAGGCCATCCTGCGCATGGAATTCAAAAACCATTTCCCGCTAGAGGGCTACGAAGGTACCGCTCACAGACTGCGCCTAAAATGTTGGTCGGTGGATTGCAGACACTTATAATAAAAGCAGAATAACTGTTCATAAAAGCAACAGTTTCAGTTATGCTGAGATTCAACGGACGGCCTAAATTGCAGGACGATGCTCCACCCTGACCCGTGTCTTCCCGTGCAACATATAAATTCAACCTCGTCAAATGGCGGAAAATACTTTTCGAATTCAAAACGCTCTCGAAATTTGCTTTCCCGGATATTCACTTCACAATGGAGGCAGAGGTCAACAATCAGATGGCGTTTCTTGACTTCCTGGTCCTGGGAGCACGAAGACGGTGATGTACAGGAATATCACTAAAATGTGTCAGGATCCACATTACCACAGTAACCACGCGTTATGCCACAACCGGAGCTGTGTGCGAACTCTGCACAAGAGAACCTAAACTCATTGCAATGAAGAAGTTAACAAAGCAGTCGGACTCCTATTATCTTCGACGGATGTTCACTTACAACGGGTGCCTGCGCAGTTTTTTAGAACGCAGTAGACAGCTAAAGTAAACTAATGCCCATGGCAAAACAGCCGAAAATATGATGGACTCTTT